TCAAAACAAAGTACATATAATACAAACAGGACGACACAAAGCAATTACAACTACAATTCTGACAGAATATCGCAAAGTCGACAAAATAAAGGGAATTATGGAGAAAATAATTATCAAAGTTTAATAAACAATCAGAATAACAAACAATATTATGGCAATAATAATAATAATAATAGAAACTTTAACTCTAATAATAATGGTTATAATAATAGAAATTATAATAATTACAATAGATACAATAATAAAGGGGATATTTTCAAAAAAGGAAATAATAGAAGATCAGAAAACTTTAACAGATGTGGAAAAAAATAGGGCAACATTTATACAAGAAGAAGGAATTTGGTGTAAAGAAAATAAAGGAGAAGAATTATATTTGATTTCTAGAAATCTTACTAGGAAAATTTCTAAAGAACTACATGAAAAATTTGGACACCCAGGGATCAGAAAAACGTGGATAATATACCGAGAAAATTACATAGCAAAAAATGATTACAAAATAATTAAGGACACAGTGAAAAGATGTTATATATGTCAATTTGCGAAAAGCAAAAATAGACATAATGAGGGAACACCAAAAAGCATAATGAGTAAAGAACCTCTGGAGCTAATATCCATTGACTTTATTTCTAATTTGACAACTAGCTTTCAAGGAAATAAACACATATTAGTTGCAGTTGATAATTTTTCTAAATTTATCAATCTATATCCTTGCAAAAGAACAAATACAAAAACAGTCATAGAAAAATTACAATTATATTGTGAAGAAGTCGGGAAACCAAGATACTGTCTCATGGACAATGCCACATACTTTGTAAATAGTAGAATGATAAATTATTTTCGTAATAAAAAGATTGAACCCAAATTTACCAGTATAAGACATCCAGCTTCAAATCCGACTGAACGATACATCAGGGAAATTATTAAATATTTAAGAATTTTAACAAGTGAAGAACATAGGAATTGGGAGAATAAACTAGAAGAAATTAAGAATTATATTAACCAGCTACCAAATAGTAGTACATTGGAAACACCCATATTTTTAATGAAAAGAACTATCCCAAATAGACCTTGGGAAAAATTAAATAATAAAACATATGAAGAAGTAGTAGAAAAAGTAAATGAACGACTGCAGAAGAATGCAGATAATTACATTAGAAAAAAGAAGAAAAAAATTAAAGTAGATACAAAATTTAAAAAAGGAGACATGGTAATAGTTAGGGCATTAAGAGTAGCCGACAGTAGGAAGAATAAGTGTGCTAAATTACAGTTACCTTTTTCTGGTCCGTATATAATCGAGAACGAGAATGGTAACAACAGTTATATTTTGAAAGATCCATATACACAAATCATTCGAGGAATCTTTCATATTAACCAATTATATAGATTTTGGGAGTAGAATATTATATTAATCACAAGTATTGTAAATAATTTAATTGAAATTGATATTTAAAATTTTACTAAAAAATTATAGAAAAATTTCAAATATAAATTTGGGAAATTGTTACGAAATTGGTATATCCCAACGTTTAACAACATTATTATTATTATTATTATAACTAATAAAACAACACCCAGTACATTAAAAATAGCGGATCAAATAAAATGCCAAAGTCAAACGTGGTTTGGTAAGGTTAATTTGAATGGAAGGTACGATAAACACTGAAAAATACATGTCCAGAGTCAATAACTTAGATTTTGTAATAAAATTGTGAATAAAATAAAAATAAAGTTAAATTCAGCTAATATCGAGATTAATATACCAAAATGCTAATTCCATAACCATTAAGGGTTTTAATTGGTTTCTCATTGTCACTATGAAGCTTCTCCTTGGAAAAAAAAAGACAGTTTTTGTTTGACAGAGAAATGCGAAAAGTTTTTGAGTTGTCAATATGATACAAAAAATTTAAATGATAGGATAAAAAAAATCCATCCCAAATCAAGGTTATTCTGGTTAAAGTTTGAATAAACAAATTTACTAACTACGCTGTATGTTGAGAATGTAAAAGGGGAGCGCTCTACAAGTTTGACAGGTCCATCGGCACAAGTTTGCAGAGCCATAGGAGGAAGATATTTGTCATTAGCTGGAGGTTTTTGTAGTACAAAAACATAAATTTTCATCATCATAAACAAACACAGTGAGCATATTGGACAGAAAAGTAGAAGTTTTATGATAAATGTGAGTAGAACTAAATTGTTTATGATAGCGAACTTTTTTGAAGTGCGATAATAAAAAAAAGGTAGAACATTAACAAACAGCATAAGTTGTTTATTAGAGATACAATAAATGTATCAATGTTAAAAATTAATGGATGGTAAATAGGAATTTCAATTTTCTAGAACACGATTGTCATCTGTGACATTTCATAATTAATTGTACTGGATGAGAAAGATAATCCAATAATTAGAGATAGACAAATTGTTAGAAAATTGAGGCACTTATTTTTCTATTTTTCAATTAAGGACATTTATGTGTGAATGTGAAGGATGCAAGTAAAATATTAAAAAGTGATAGGTTTAATTAGCAAATAGGAAATTTTTTAGTAATATTTAATATGTTGTATGTCTTTGATATGTTTGTTTATTAAATACATTTGTTTGATGTTTTCTGCTAAGAAAATTTGTTTATTCAAATATACAGGGTGGATATAAAAATTTCTATTTTTAAAGTAGTAGATTGGAGTATTGGCAGAATTTAATTTAAATTAAATAATAAATAAATAATAAATAAATAATAAATAAATAATAAATAAATAATAAATAAATAATAAATAAATAATAAATAAATAATAAATAAATAATAAATAAATAAATAATAAATAAATAATAAATAAATAATAAATAAATAATAAATAAATAATTAATAAATAAATAATAAATAAATAATAAATAAATAATAAATAAATAATAAATAAATAATAAATAAATAATAAATAAATAAATAATAAATAAATAATAAATAAATAATAAATAAATAATAAATAAATAATAAATAAATAATAAATAAATAATAAATAACTAATAAATACATAATAAATACATAATAAATACATAATAAATAAATAATAAAATATATCTAATAAATAAAATTAATATTTTATTTAGCTTATAAAACAAGATTAAAGGGTCTAAATATTATCGTGTTTGTGTTATTAGGAACCGCCCCTGGGAAAAAGAGAAAAGCTGGTAAGTAAAGTAAATAACATTATAAAAGTGTTTATGTCAATATAAAAAGTGAAGTAGTGATTGAATGTCATTACAATATATTACAAAGAAGTAGTTATTGGCACATCTACTAACCAGTAGCATTGTAATAGCAAATGTAATAGATTTTGGGGATAATGTGGCTACTTGAAATTTTACAGGAGAGATTGTACACTTCGAAAAAACAGCGGAAGTGAACAACCAACTAGCCTAAAGACCATTTGTGACTACTGATAGATCTTTAGCTACTGTTGTTAATAAAAATAATAAAAAAATTAAATTAAAAGAACAAAAATTATCCTTTCATAGCATAGTAGAGCGGTTCTTGGTAACTAGTTTTAGACTCCTCTAGTCCCAAGGGAATAGAAACGCCGAGACTTCTCAAATGCTCGGAATATCTCACTGGTTTTGGAGGGGAAAATGTATTTTTAAAATAAGTACAAAACTATATTTAGGGAATAAAGCACTACTTGATAATAGATCCAAACTTTAAATAAAAATTTACGACAACTAGATAAACATGTTATTGAATTATATAGTTTGGAATCATTAACAACTCTAAATAGCACTGGAAAAAAATAATATATAAGAATATAATATAAAGATCAATAATATAAATCAATTAATCATCTCAAACAAAACACTTTCAAAATAAGTTAAAGATATTTACCCAAAGTTCATAAATCGCTGCACAAAACTTTACTTCACACATTACTTTGTTTCGGGACTTATAGTCCCGAAAACGAGAGCTCGCCTTTTGAACATCAGTCCTCACTCAAGTTTTTCTTTCTATCTAGTCTCTATATAAACCCAAAATTTACGGGACTTGTTAGAATGCCCACGTTTTACCTTGAATTTCCTAGTTCAATGTAAGCCATTGACTGGATTAATAACCTGATTATTTGTTTTATTTCCATAGGTGTGTTTCCTTTTGAATTTTTAATTTAATACATTAAAAATACTTTTTTATAATTTTTTTTAAATTCTTTATATTTTCCAATAATAATGCCAATTATTACAGAAGCAAGTTCTTAAAATTCGATTTAACATAAATATATTATTCATCACCGAAAAAAATGGGGCTTTACGCAAATACAACATAACAATTTCATTTTCTAAACTTGAAGGTCGCGGCAGCAAGGTTTTCACCGTTCCCAAGGTAGCAGTAATCTTTTTTCTATTAACTTTTGATGCAATTAATAATATGTGTAAGTTTTAAGCTTACGCTTTTATGGCATCAGTATTTTCTACCATGGCTTTTCTAAAACGGCCTATACATTATGCGACCAGTTGTACAACCAAGTCGTTTCGACTTGTCTAAACGATAATTACATAGTCTGGGCGTTGTCGTACAACATATCGTAAGAAACGGTTGGATCGTATGGAAGTTTGGCTAGGTGAAAATTTATTGAACATTATCGTAAGCAGGTCGTTTATGGGATGTGAAGTCCAATGAATATTTAAATAAACAAACTGAATGAGTACTACAAATCTTTACAATCGATTGATGTTCAGATTGTTTGTGTTTGTGGCGAAAATGCTTGCGAGTTGTTGCATTGATGGTCTGTTCAATCTCTAGTACAACTCGTCGTACAAGTAATTGCATATATGTATGGGCCGTTTAAGACATCGTCATCGAGCGCTCCACCGCTGGTGCGTCTGCAGCAAATTATTTCCATCTTCTATAACGCAAGAATGTAATTTAGACTTGCGCAAATGTGTGAGAAAATAGTCACTGACTCCACTACCGTATTATGTATGTTCGTATCTTAAAGTGTAATTATTGAAATGTTTTACAGATTCGATGGGCCCAGTTTCATAGGAGGCATCGTGCTAGCACTGGGACTGGCAGCCATCGGTTTCGTAGCCTTTAAGTTCTACAAAGCTCGTCTAGAAGTCAACTATCATACTCTCTAACCCCATGACATTTCGCAACTAAATATATAAAAAAGTATTCTTGTCGTCGTTAAATACGCTGCTGAAAATATGTCTGAAAGATTTTTATTTGAAACATTTTATTCGCTATATGTATGTTTATAAGATAAGAAAACTCATGTTTTTTCGGTGTATAGATTGATTTTCTCAGATATATTTTTACGTTGTTTAATCGATATTATCGGGATATTGTTTAATCTTTTATATTAGGGTAGACAGACACCACCTTTCTTTTAAGATAAAACCTATAAAAGGAAATAGTCCGCGTCATGCGTTATGTATAACGCTATTGATTCTTCTGATAAAAAAATATGTTGTCTGATAAGTCGTTAACTATCTCTCTTGTTTGATATTTTAAATATTTACTTAAGATGCAGTAGAATAAAAAGTTCAACAGTTTTGACCTTCAAACGGGTCGTTCACGTTTAATTGTGTTATTAATATTATTTTATATTTGTTTTAACATTGTAAGAAATGCCTTCCTGAATTATTTTAATATTTAATGTAATTTTAATTTTCGAATTCTACTCGAATATTGTAAGTATTTAGAGAAGCAAATTGTTTTTATCTCATTAACTCTTTAAATGAAGCCGCTGAAAATTACACCAATAATTGTTAGAAATCGATGGCAAAAATGTGGTTGGGCGGGTTAAACTATAAAAAACCGGGTCCAATCATGATATTAACTATCATTCCACGCTTCTAGTACCCAATGATTTGATGGACGACTTTCTCCCTATTCTGCATTTATAGTTCTTCAAACTTTAAAATAGATTATTTGCAATAATGTCAGCAGCTGATAACAGTCTTCAAGTGTGCTTGATTAATGATTATCTACGAACGCTTCTGTATCCAAATCCCGAATATGTTCGATTGGATTTAAGTATTATCACTTAAAGAATGCCTTGCATTTTGGGGTGTGTAGGAAATTTGACGACATGGCCTTCCATTATCTTCTATTCGGACCTATACTATATATACCATATGCAACAGCTACATTATGTCCTCCAGATATTAAAGTCTCTCTGGATATACGAAAAGTGTTCTTATAGACAGACTCGCCACCAAATTTTTGTATTTTTTTATTGTAGCTATGTTGCCTTGCGACAAAGTGAAAATGATATGTGGCACCGGTCTTCTTGGTGTCAAGTTTGATTCTGTCTATTTCTAAGAGGTCGGAAACATCCACTCCTAATACATTTGACTTTTTTTCCTTGCAAATATGACTTGAAGAAAATGCTAAAGATAAGTCCTGATTCGGGTGATTTTCCTCTTAGAACCTTTTCAAATATCGACCATTAACGAATCCACAAACATTTTTCTGGTCTTTTTTTTTTAGAATTACGGTGTGTGAATTTCTTGTGGAATAAAATATTATGAATCTTTAAGATTGGCGTTATTAAATTTGTGTAGCGGTAACATTTAGAAACTTGATGAGATACAAACAGCTGTGAATCTAAAAACAATATTTTTTATTTAAAAACCGAAATATTCTGTCTATTTTTGCCATGAATAAGGAGACACATTTTCAGCACGATTTCATATTTACAATTTCTCTATTAACCTCTGTAATTGATGTACCAATGATTTAATTTGTATTGTATGTGATATAGGTATGTTAGAAATATCTTGTGCATTTGTTGTCTTTCAAAAATGCAGTATTTCAGAAATGCAATGCTAGAGATTCCTTCAGATTTGTGAAATCTGTGCGATCTGGAATATTGGATTCTTGACTGCTAACGAATTGAGGCTGTCATTGAAATGGATCATGTTACTAGCCAGTAATGTTTTGCTGCAATTTTTAAAAGCTATCAGAAGCTATTATGAAAGTTTGTAAACTATTTTTTCATGTGAATTAGATGCTTTATTGATGCACCAACACCGAGCACTTATATCTCGCATTAACATGGTCCAATTTTTATTTATTTTTTTTTGGATCTATAATACTGTTCAAACGATACACTGAAGAATTCCACCATAATAATTCGCTATGTATATTGATCAATATTATACATCTGTTAATTCATTTTTATTAAGTGTAGTTTTTGTGTTAAGATAGTTTAAACTTTTTATTTTGTGATAAAAATGTCAAATCATTTTCTGGTGTATTCAGAAATACAAATCGTCATCGTAGCCGGGTGCAATACTGGACGATAAAGTTGGTCACAGGGTTCAAAGTGATGAATGTGTCTCTCATCACTATCAAGATCATCAACATTAACATAAAATCGGCCATGTAGCAACAAATTCAAATTAGCAAGCAGGAAAATGGCATTGGCCATCAAAGAGAATTGTATCTGACAAACAATTCGATAAAATTATCCTTAGGCCTTGATATTGTTCATTGGGCATTGTAAAATCGGTCTTTGGGTTATGTAAAATACTCCATATAAAAATAGACCATCTGCTTATGGGCTCGATACAACAGCCCAAAGAGCAGAATGAAATTGTCCATTGTGATAAAATTGGTCGAGCGAGAAATGGGTCGGAGTCAATGAAATTGGCAAAGCAGTCGGTGAAACTTATACAATCTAAAATAAGGCAGAGTGGATTAGAAACAACGTGATGCTAAATTATCCACTGAATCAATCAAATTGACCAATTGGCCAAGAAAATTGCCCTTTTCGCGATAATGTGAAACTATCAAGCGGGCTGTATGAAATAGTATGTCAAGTTTCTTGAAAAATATCTCAGGACTGTTTCTAGAGGAAGATAGATTGTTTATTGTTCTGAATACATCTGACTGAGCGTCTGAATTTTTGTATATTATTGTTATTTTAATTCTAATATGATTAATATTAAGTTTAAACAATTAGAACTGAAGCTTAACAAAGGAAACTTAAGTCAATAAATATTAGGAAGCTTAAGATCGTTAAGTGAAAAACATTATTGTAGTTGCACGTCGCTTGAGAAAACTAAAATTTTTTGAAACTCTTAAATTGTAAATGTAAATTTAGGTCAATAGTACCCATTCGAACGTCGTATGTCATCGATGACATCTGTCATTGCTGTATCGATATGCGCCATCTAAATTCCGACACGTTTTACCAACTTGTTAAAAAATTGATTCTAGTTCGTTTTAGGCTATAATATTAGAACCCCTTTGACTAAATTATGACTTTTTGAGTATTCATGTATATAAAATCATTCAAGATTTCGTTCCAATTTTTGTAGACCCAAAGAAAGATTATGGTTATTTTCTTTTAGTAAACAGGTACTATTAAAAACGTCTTATTTTACACTAGTAATTGTTTTTTTCTCGTACGCGAGATACATCCATGTCGAGTAACAAGAATGATGATAATTTTTGATAGAAGACATGTTAAAAATAAATAGTTGTTGCTTGGAAAATCGATTACTTTAAAAATTATACTTTGTCAGCTGTCACTTGCTACATGACATAAGTCAAAAGTCAAATTTAAGTCAAATCTAGCTGTATTTGAAAGTATGTTTGTTTACTCGTTATGGGTATAGTCGCGTATTCAAGAGCTTTACTACGCAATCTGTCCGAAGAAAGTGCTCTTAGTAGAGTGTAAGATATACTCGAACTATATATATATTAAAAAAAAAAGAATTTAAAATGGTGCGCTCCTAGTCTAGTTGGCATATTTTTTAAGAATTTATCGCACGGTTGAAATAAAAAAGAATAGTTGATAAAATATATTTTTTGTAATAATTAATAAACCTTCTTTACTACTAGTTGAGTTTTCTCGATTATTGATTAGGGTAGAAATTTAGTCGCTAGTGATTTTATACTAAGACACGTGCAAGAGTTATATATTATATTTTTTTGTTTTCGTAGATAAAGGTGTATTTCAAATTTATCAGAATTATTTTGGTGGTCCAATAAAAACATATTGAATGAAAATGTTTTGTTTTATTTAAATGGTTCCTAACGGACTACCCGCTTTTACTTTTATATCTGCCATATTATATCTTCATTTTCTTCTTGCCCTTCATGCATTTTGTTACCTCTTTATTCAAATAAAGCTTTCAATAGAAATCCCATTACAATAAATAGTTTATATATTTCTGATATATCTACTAGGTTAGGTATTTTAAACCGGAATATCTAATTAGGCAATCCAATTCACGTGACTTTAAAAGGTAGAGCCTTGACAAAAACAACAAAAGTACATGTTTTCCTTGACAAAAACACATAGTTAGGTTTTTAGTCTTAAGTTTGTATTATTTCTTTGGAGTGTTTACAGTTTTGCCATAATTTAATATTTATTAAGAATTTATGACTACTAATTGTATGATTTACAATAACAGTCAAATATTAATGAAAAAGTCAGGTTAATTAACTGTTGTTTTTGCCAAGCATCGGCCATTTTTGTCCATTCTGAGAGGACATTGGATTGCTTAATTTCTAGATTGGAATTTGACTTCTGCGAGGTACTGAAAAGGTAATGCTGAAGAGTTAATAATTTGGACATGTAATACCCATTCCAATACCTTTTTGACAGGTAACCCTAATTTGTATTCAATCTCATTAAAGGGGTACTTTACTTCTGTCAATTTTTGACAGAATCGGTGCAAGGTACTAGAAAAAACACCATAGATTACTGAGATTTCGTGCACGTAATACTCATTTCAATATCTGCTTGCCAGGTGTCACCAATTTTCCCTCCACTTTCTCCAAGGGGTACTTTACACTTGTCAATTATGACAAAAACTGCCTGGTTCTAGGAAAAACACACTGGTTTACTGAGACTTAGAACACGTAATACCCACTCCCATACCCCCATTGCCCCAAGCGGTACTAGTGCCAGGTACTAGAAAAACCATTGCCTGATATTTGGTAACGTTGTAGTGTTAAAAAGTGTAATTATCGATACAAGTTCCTAAGAAACTAAGAATATTTAGTATCTGGGATGAAAACTTTAAGGGTGTCAGTTTTATAAAATTAGGACTGGAAAGGGACACTCAAGAGGTGCGACTATTTTTCTAGGAAATAGTATCATTGTGATTTTCTCTCGAATTCGGTTTTTCTCAAAATTACAAAAAATGATGTCCCCTGGCAAAGTATATTTGAACGGGCATTACGTGTAAAAAGCTCAGTTTTCTAGTACCGTTTTTGTCAAAATTGACAGGAATAAATTACTCCTTGGAGTTAATGGTGAAAAAGTTGGGTATTAGGTGTACGATGTCTTAGTAATCTAGTGCATCTAGTCAAGCCAGAGATTCCTAAAAAAAGAGGATTATATTATGTATACTATAATACTAGAGGACAGTCTAGAGCAGCGTTACTCAAAGTGTGGTCCGCGGAGCCCCAGGGCTCCGCAAAGCCTTTGTAGGGGCTCCGCGAATAGTCATAATAAAAAAAGCAGTACTACCGCTTTCAAAAGGGAGGGATCTTTTTTTTTTTTTAGTTAGAAGTCATTAAGACGATAAGAGGAAGCAGGATCTGATTTTGATTTGAGGACCTTTTTTTTAGTCACTAAGAGGAAGGTCGATATGATTTTGCTCGGATGATTTTTTTTTAGAAGTCACTAAGAGGAAAAAGATGATATGATTTTGATTTTTTGTGACGGCTCCGCGAACAAGGACGAGGCCTGTTTTGTTAGAGGCACTAAGAGGAAGGACGATATGGACTTGTTTTTTTAGAAATGTGTTTAGGGCTCCGTTAAATATTTCGCTTTTAAAGAAGGTTCCATCAACAAAAAATTTTGAGAACCACTGGTCTAGAGATACTAACTCGTATGCACTTTCCGGCCTCAACAATCATAATGGGTCTAAATTCATGAGACCCAGAGAGCTACATTCAAAGGAAGACCAACTCCAATAGATTGGAAGCTGGCCTCCGAGATCACAAGACCACGCAGGATTAGTTGGACCATCAACAAATTAAAATCCCTGGGGCCGAATGGAATATATCCAATTCTGCTCCAGAAGAATGTGTTAATCTATGCAAAATCTTTAAAGCAATATTATTTCTGCGATATGGCAAAAGGCGAAAGTAGTCTACCCTGCCAAAGTAGGCCACAGACCAAACGCCAAAGTCATATCGCCCTATAAGCCTATCAAGCGTCCCGATATGTAATAATAAAATATACTACAACAAGACAAGGAAGCAACACCCTGGATACAGCTCAAATTGAAATGACGCACATCATGAAATGAAATAGAAAGGCGGATGTCTGTGATTACTACAAATATTTTCACTTCGGGAGCCAAGTTCGCCTACCGGCCAGGTGCTATTTATAAGCCTATTCTCCTTTTGCTAAAAACGCTAGAAAGACTGATAGGTAGGTATATCAGGGAAGAGATAGCTATCCCAAACCATATGCATACTAGCCAGGAAAGTTAACTGACCTATCGCTGGACGATCCAAACAGGCTGCTTTCAAAGTAAACAGAAACAAATCGCAATAGTCACTATCTTAGATATGGAAGGAGCTTTCAATAATCCCTAAACCAGGTCAATAAAACAAAGGCTCTGGAACAGATAAACATCCCAGTCACAATATGCCAATGGATCATTGCCAGCCTAGAGAATAGGATCATTTTATCCACTCTAATAAAGGCAACTATACAGGCAAAAATTACATGGGGCTGTCCACAAGGAGGAATACTATCTCCAATAAGTTGGTCAGTTCTAGGGGACGATCTACTCAAAACATTACCCAAAAAAGGGGTACCAATCCCTTTAATGATACGCAGACGGCCTAGCAATTATCGTCAGGGGGCAATTTTCAGTCTCGGAGCGATCTCAAACATAGTGAACTGGTACAAAAAGAAGCAATTGTCTATTAACGCAGAAAAAACAACAGTTGTACCATTCACAGAAAACGGGTACTTACAGAACCAAGACCACTAGTACTAAAAACATGGTTATTCCATTTGTCACAGAAGCCAAATACCTCCGAGTCATCATATTTGAACAAAGGCTGACGTGTAATCAACATCTTCAAAGAACTCGCATATAAAACCACAATAGCTCTCATAAGCTGCAGAAGAATATATGGGAAAAACTGGCGTCTTAGCTCTAAAATGACCATATATTTATACACAAGGGTGATAAGACCCACAATAACCTATGGTGCGGTGGCGTGGGTAACCAAAACTGCATATAGGCGAGTGCAATAGACCAACTTACTGGCATTCAGTAATACACCAACTGCAGCAATGGAGGTAGTATTAAACCTCACGCCACTGCACATCTTCATACAAGGAGAAACCGTCCCGTTATTCACAGGCTAATTCAGGAACAAAATCCAATAAGCCAATAAAGCGCTGATCATACACGAGGCTATACCAGCAAGTAAAAATGATACGATTCCAGGAATGCCTACTGATATAGCCATAACCACATACAAATTTGAAATAACTTCTCAAATTCAAATTCTAGCACCTAGAATGCAGGAAATAGGGCCTCCCATACAGGCAGACCTCGATTGATAAACAGACAGTTAAAAAAAACCAAGGAAGGAGCTGGTGCTGGAATCTTTGGATTAAGTCGAAAACAACGATTTCGCTGGATCTAGGAGAATATGCAACTGTGTTCCAGGCTAAACTATACAACACTGTGCTAGAGAAATAATAAATCGCCAAGTATCAAAGAAACCTATTGCCATCTACTCTGATAGCCAAGCAGCTCTAAAGACACTGTCGCCTAAGAAGGCATATGACTGTCATCAATCCAGCTGAAGAAATAACATTGTGTTAAGAAGGAGATGAAACATCAATCCACGTCCTCTGACAGTGTGAAGGCCTGGCTAGATTGAGACGAAGAAAAGCCAGACGCATGGAACTACATACTGTCAAAAAAATACCACATAAAAGTCCCACAATAGATCTGATAAGGTCGCGGTGGACAAGGACAAATAATTTCCACCTGGCCAAAAGATATTGGAATTGATATTACGGTACGTGTACGATGTCTTAGTAATCTAGTGCATTTTCCTAGTACCTGGCACTGTGAGTGAAGTACCCCCTTTTCAGGGGATTGGATGCAAATTGATGTCACCTGGCAAAATGTATTATGGGGTGAGTACATAGTGGGTATTACATATCCCATTATTAACTCATCGTTTAGTACCTGACAGCAGTGACAGCTGACAGCTGTCAAATTTTAATCTGAAAATTAGACAAGCATTGGCATTCTCATCTTTTAATACGGTACGTGTTGAGACGACTATCTTCGTTCCACAGAATGCGATTTATATGTAATGTCTCTCTCTATTTGATTCGTTACGTGTTGAGTACGGACATAAGAATCCCTCTCATGGTACCCATTTTAAACTTTTTATCACCTGGAAAAAAAAAACTATAAATGCGAAGTTAAGTAGTAATAAAATGTGACATCGATATTATCATAACAACAACAATTTCTATTCGCAGTCCATGTAAAATTTGTTAAGTAGACCTTTGTGCGTTGTGATAAAATCTGCCTATTTAATCAAGGAAGTCAATTATGCAAATACAATTAATTATAATTATTGCTTTGTTGATATATGGATATAATAGTCCCGGTTTTCCTATATTTCCTATATTTTTTTTACCTTAAAACATTTTAATTTATTTCACACTCTTAGGAATATTGAATTTTACGAGTATAATGACTCGACATTTTATGATATAAATACGCCTAATTTAGGTAGGAGTATTAATGTTATTTCTATATCGGATATCGGGATTTGTTCAACACAAATAGAACTATAAAATCTCTTTCTTTCAGTGACATCTTATGGTAAACACTAATTTAAACTAAAATTATTGTAACGTATACTTCTATACATCTATTTAGAAATATCGATATGACCCTAGTATCCTGTAAACATTTTCTAAATTGATTTGGGGTCATTGCGTAGGTTTAGCTATATCCAAGTAGATGGCAGTCAAAGCTATGACATTATTTTA